GTTTGAAAAGGCCTTGCTGAGATAATTGTCATTCTTGACTTGTTCTTGTAAATTTATTTTCACTGCAAATTCGCAATGATTGGTTCCGAAAGATTTCAACTACTTTTATAAATATGTAAAAAAAATTGAAAATTATGTTTACAAAATTGTGTAAATAACCATTTTTATTATATTTCTTGGGCAGATTTTTGTGCCAAGGAAAAAGTTTAAAATTGGTGGTTCTGTTCTGATTAAGCCAAGCTCTCTAGAGGAATAGTTGAAATTAATTCATTATGAATGAAATTTCTCTTATTTAGAATACCTAATTAATTCATAAAGTACTGTGTGATTAAATCTTTTAACTTAAACAATACACATAAATAATCTTAAATAAAGGATTTAATTTTAATAATTAAATTAATATTATTACTTTTCTAAAATTCAAATGAAAACAATCAATGTATCTAAATCATCTTCATTACTAGATTAAAAAAAAAATGATCTACGAAAATGGCTTAAACTAAAAAAGAAAATAAGAAAAAAAAATCTACCCGCCCTAAGAGAAATTAATAAAGCAAAAATAAAAAAAAAACAACCAAAAAGAATAAAACTATGAATCTATGAAATAACAAGGAGAAAAAACAATTTAAACAAAAATAATTCTCATACTATTATTGTTATCACACCCAGCTCCGAAGCTATTAAATCTGTACGGAGCCACTCCGGGTGCGAATAGTCATTGGCGATTATAGGTAGCCGGGTACCTATAGATGCAGCCAAAAATACGATAGACTTGCAAAACCTGTTAAGGTGCATTAGCATTCACTTTCAAGAAAATGTAAGAGAGCACCCCCCTCTATATCTTTTAAATTTGTTGTGGGCTGTCAAACTTCCTAAGTGATTTAGACCATTTTCAAATCCTCATAAGTATTTTAAACCTCTTTCAAAAGCTGCGAAGTATATTTTTAAACTCGTTCAAAAGCTGCTAAGTATATTTTTAAACTCGTTCAAAAGCTGCTAAGTATATTTTTAAACTCGTTCAAAAGCTGCTAAGTATATTATTAAACTCGTTCAAAAGCTGCTAAGTATATTTTTAAACTCGTTCAAAAGCTGCTAAGTATATTTTTAAACTCGTTCAAAAGCTGCTAAGTATATTTTTAAACTCGTTCAAAAGCTGCTAAGTATATTTGACAAAGGGGGGGGGGAGGGGGTTTAGGACAAAGTGGATGTCCACATTGTAGTGTTTTTTTTGAGTGCAGCAGTTCTGCATAAATTTACTGCCCAATCACAGTAGCATGCCTTTTGATCTCTATTGTCCATCGGTGGCTGGGAGAATTTCCAAGAGAATGTTTTTGCAGTAAATATTTCCCATCACAGGCGGCAATGAAAAAACATAAGGTCGTCCATTGCAATATTCCTGCTAGTGAACATAACATGGCAGACGAATCAGACGAAGAGACTGCCACTCTAATTGAATTAGCAATTGAAGACTCAAGAACAGATGTTGTCATTATACGAAACATGTGTGAATGGCTGCAGTCCGAATTTTCCGTTGATTGAAGAATGGTGGATTATTTGTTAATTAATTTTTAAAAAATATTCATTAATTTAAGTTCGGTAAATTTTATGTTTTGGACGTCCACAACGGGACAAAGGGGGAGGGTAAAAAATAGCAAAACATTGGTGGACGTCTTTTATGGATGGCCCCTTGCCGGCACATGACTTTCTTTCGACACTATTCAAGATGGCTGAACACGACACTAGTCTTAGTACAAACGGCGAAAACGCTAATATGTCCCAATTAAAACTTACAAAAAGAAAAGAACTCCAGATTTAAAGGATCCCTCTGCTGATAATGTTTATATTTTAAACGTTTATTACTTTATGCAAGATGGCGTCCCCACCTTAAATGCATTGTTATTGTTACGCCAATGTAACGTCCCCACCTTAAATGCATTGTTATTGTTACGCCAATGTAACGTCCCCACCTTAAATGCATTGTTATTGTTACGCCAATGTAACGTTCCCACCTTAAATGCATTGTTATTGTTACGCCAATGTAACGTCCCCACCTTAAATGCATTGTTATTGTTACGTCAATGAAACGTCCCCACCTTAAATGCATTGTTATTGTTACGCCAATGTAACGTCCCCACCTTAAATGCATTGTTATTGTTACGCCAATGTAACGTCCCTACCTTAAATGCATTGTTATTGTTACGCCAATGTAACCCAATAAAATTGTCGACCCGTGTTGTTTTTTCCCCCAGGACTTACTTTTGAATTGAAGACTATTATTGTGATATAGTAATTGTATGTGTTATTGTCTGTTACTTTGTGTTTTTATTTAGTAATTTTATGTGTTATTGTCTGTTATTGTTACTTTATGTTGTGATATAGCAATTGTATGTGTTGTGGTCTATTACTAGTGTTACGTGATTGTTTGGATAAGGTATATAAGACTAAGGTTCATTAAAATCATGCAGTACAGTTTAAAGAAAATGTAAAAGAGCACCACCACCCCCCACCCCCTCTATATCTTTTAAATTTGTTGTGGGCTGTCAAACTTCCTAAGTGATTTAGCCCATCATTTTCAAATCCTCATAAGTATTTTAAACTCTTTCAAAAGCTGCTAAGTATATTTTTAAACTCTTTCAGAAGCTGCTAAGTGTGTAAACCATTTTCAAAACCTGCTAAGTAATAACTTTATAATGCATTATAAATGCAAAAATGCCCATTTAACTATATTTTATGTTTAAAAATATATCATTTACAGCTAATCTTACAACTGGAACAAAAAACCAGAATCCTAGGATTAGTGCATCATTGTGTTTTAGAAAAATGTGTTTTTCTCAAAATCAATCTAAAGTGACTTAGCAGGGTTTGCAATTGGACTCCTCAAATAGAATTTGTATATTGATACAAAAAAGGGAACAAACTGATATCATAGTTGTTTCCCCTTGCGCATCATGACGGACCATATTATACGCACGTGTGGCAATCTGTCCCTAGACAGTGGCGTTGGAAGTGGATGCTTAGGGGAGCAGCCAACCCCGGGGCGTCATTAACCCTAGCCGCGCCACCGGGCACAGAATCGTCGACATTTATTTTTTTTAGTTTAGTGGTGCAGAGTTCACATTAAAGTATCGCCATGCCTGCTACATTCACTGGGGCTTGAAGAAGCACTAATGAATATATCGTTCACAGACCGTGAATCTATCTGCCCATAAATCGTGACACCTTCAGTTCAACCTTATCTGTTATGTCACAGGTCAAGGGCCACAGGTAGCAGGCTACGGGTCGAAGGCTACAGGTCACATATCACAGTATCACAGGCCACATAGGCTTTGTGACGAGAACCTTGGCAATTCTTACAGGAACAACACTGGAAAAATACCCAAGGACACACACATGGATGCCGTAATCCCACTGCGTCTTTACATTTTTTGAGGATATTTTTTTCCCACAATTTACTAATGCTTACAGTAATAAATAATGATCATAATATTTAGTGTTTTTTTAAAAATAAAAACCATTAAATACAACATTCGAAACCAAAATAACAAAAGAAATGCAAATCTGAGTGACATTTGATTTCTTAAAAAAACATTCAATTTCATTTCATCAACAAATTTAATTGTATACGATCAAACTACATACTTTTTTTTTTTTAAATTAAAACTTTTCATGAAATGTACTGACGCGTCGAGTCGCTGAACTGAAGGCAAGTTATCACCTAGTCCGAGTCGCTGAACTGAAGGCAAGTTATCACCTAGTCCGAGTCACTGAACTGAAGGCAAGTTATAACCTAGTCCGAGTCACTGAACTGAAGGCAAGTTATCACCTAGTCCGAGTCACTGAACTGAAGGCAAGTTATCACCTAGTCCGAGTCACTGAACTGAAGGCAAGTTATCACCTAGTCCGAGTCACTGAACTGAAGGCAAGTTATCACCTAGTCCGAGTTGAGGTACAGTCTCCACACGACAGGCTGTGTGCACCAACAATCTGCTTCTCATTCTGGCGAAAAGCACGCCCGTGGGGTGGTGGGTCTCTTGCCATCGTTCTGGGAACCCCTGGTGGCAGTGGATCTGGGACCTATTTATAGGCACAGATATAAGACGACCGACCTGTGACAGATTTACCATTTCCCAGTACCAGGATCCGTTCAAGCACACAAGGGCCTGGCAGGGGTCTGAGTTAAGACACATTGTTTCCCTGTCAGGCTATGCTGTATATATATTGTTTAATCCAATAAAATAATCATATCATAAGCCTTTTTTCGTAGGCTACCATAATTTTAATAAATGGTTGAAACTAAGACCAATGGCGTAACTAAGGTGGTTTGAAGGACGCGAATGTCCCAGTTTATTACTTCTGCTGATTGTAATTAACAGCCTAATCAAATAAATGTGAGTAAGACGCATTTAAAAAATATAATATATTATTTTATTGTTACTATTTTTAATGAATTTTTTTCTTGGGGGGGGGGGGAATCTTCTTCCGTGCAGCAATGATTCAAGGGGCGCCACTGAGCAACTTGAAATTTCTGAAAAGTCACATCCTGTAATTGTTTGGTATGTGGGGATTTTTTTCTTCACCCTTCTTCAAACATGTCAAACATAAGTTTTATAATCCCTATTAAGACTTAGTTAAAAATATGCTGAAATTTTTCTTCTTCTTTTCATTAAACAGCCATATTAAATCGTAACTTTGGTGAAAAAATAAAGAGGCGAAAAAAAATGACATAATTTGCTGTGAAGCTTGCCCACCGGTCCCTGCCGACCTTAACAGTCTTAGAACCACTGATCTAGACCTGCTCTATCAGCTAAGCCAACTAAAAAAAACAAAAAAATAGGACGCGTTATAAAAAAAAAAAAAAAAAAAAAATTTTTTTTAATAAAAATTTTTTTTTTTTTTTTTTTTTTTTTTTTTTTTTTTT